ACTCCCGGTTTGAAAACTAAGTCCAAAAATATATTTTTTCACACTTAAGTTTGAAAATAGGCCACCGGATGTCAAAATCGTGGAACAGCCACGAGACGGCCCGGGAAACACCTCAAACACCTCGAGAGGGACCAATGTGAGTTGTGGAAACTTACAGAACTAACACGGGACTCTCAGTTTGAAAACTAAGTCCAAAAAGGCACTTTTTCACACTTAAGCTTGAAAATAGGCCACCGGGAATTCGTGCAACAGCCACAAGACGGCCTGGGGAATACCTCAAACACCTCGGGATGGGCCAATGTGAGTTGTGAAAACTTACGGAACAAGCACGGGACTCCTGGTATGAAAACTAAGTCCAAAATTATAGTTTTTCACACTTAAGCTTGAAAATAGACTTTCGGGGGCCAAAATCGTGCAACAGCCACGGGATGCCCGGGGAACACCTCAAACACGTCCGGAGGGACCGATGTTAGTTGTGGAAACTTACAGAACTTGCACCAGACTCCCGATTTGAAAACTAATTCGAAAATTACATGTTAAATTGTATATTTTATAGATAAGATAATAATTGTCTAACTTGCATTTTTTTTTTTTTTGTGTGTGTTTCATTTTTTTGCAGATTCGAGATTTGATATGGACATGTTTGATAATTTGGAGAGCAGAAGCTAGCTCATTTTGTGTTTTTGTTCATATTACCTTACATGTATTTTGGTTGCGTTGTAAATTTTCTATTTTTGTTGGTATTACAGGGCATGTTCACTACAAGAAAAAGCATTTTTGCCGACCACTTTTAGCTACCAAAACTAATTTAGTCGCCAAAAGTCACGGAATTGGCTACCAAAAATAATATTAGTCGGCAAAAGTCAACATTTTAGCTACTAATTTTTTTTAGTAGGGGAATGTTGACTATTGGCTACTAAAAAAAATTTAGTAGCTAAAGATATTACAATTGGCGACTAAAACAATTTTTAGTAGCTAAACATATGACAATTGGCGACTAAATAAAAATTTAGTAGCCGTAGAGGTACCTTTGGCTACTAAATTGTTTGGTAGCCGAATGAAAATAAGAAAATTAATTATTTTTATTTTTATTTTTATTAAGAGGTTGTACACCCACCATCCAAAAATATTAATATCTTCTTTTTTTTTATTATCTCAAAATATTAATTTTTTTTAAAAATTAATTATTAAAATAATATGAATTTCTTATTTTGTCCTTTTTTTAAATCCATTAATAATACAAAAAGTACAATTATGACAATTGATATTTCTAAAAAAATATACTATCAAAAGGTAATTTTGAAAAATTAATATTTTTAAAATGTAATAATTGTATTATAAAAAGAAATTAAATTTTGAAAATAGATTATTATTTTTAGATGGAAGAAGTAGTCGGCTTTCATTTGATGGTTGAACACATCTTTTAATAATTGGGCCCTCACGCGAAAGGTATGCTAAAATGGGCAACTTGTTATTGGCTGTTTGTCGATAGTTTTACATTGCAAAAATTTAAAGGCATAGTTACAGGTTAGTCTGATGAATTTAATTTTTAATAATAAATTTATTATTTTTAAAAAGTACAATTAAACTATTTATACTTTTTACATCATCATATTTCAATAACACTAATAAATTAAGAATAAATCAAAATTCACAAATAAAAGACAAAATATCCCAATTATTTATCATTTTAATAAATTTTTCAATATTATTACCAGTACTAATGAAATAATCATTTTACAGACACAAAACATATATTTAAAAAGTTTTAAAAAAATTTCATTATCAAAACGAAGGCTAAGTGTGTAAAAAAAATTCACAATTGACTTATGAGTAAATAAATCTGATTTGTAAGACTTATTTTTAAATTTATACTTTCTAAATATTTCTAAATTTTGTAATTTTTTTTTCACAAACTGAGTCATAAAACTCCAATAAAGTAAAAAGTATAAACAATAAATAAAATTAAAAAATATTAATTTAACAAGCCTGATCTATTTTTCACATCTCGAAAAAAATTAGCAGCAAATATTTTCACAAAATTTTATCTTAATTTGAAATTCCCTCTCAAATTGGGGATTCCCCCCAAAATTTTGCCCTAACCCTTCTCCGTTTCTCATCTCACTCTCACACACAACTCCTTCTCATTTCTCACTGCAAGAAAAGTGGGTATATGAGACGGAACTATTTGCGACGGCACACTTGCCGTCTAAAAAAAACAGAGTATTTGCGACGGAACCATTTGCCGTCTCAAAAAAGCAGAGCATTTGCGACAGCACTATTTGCCGTCTCAAAAAATGAGAGCATTTGCGACGGTATTGAATTGTTGTAATTTTTTTTGTATTTTTGGTATTTAGTGAATTTTTAATAGATTTTTTTACAAATTTTTAAATTTTTAGGCGCATTTATGTTAGGTGTGTCTAAAAATTTTAAAAAATACTTAAAATATTAAAAACATTCAGCAAAAACAATATAACACGAAAAACAAGAAGTATAATTTTCTCAAAAGAGTTTTTGGAAAACTCTAACCTAGCATAGTGATTGTGGTTTTGAGATAGCTTCATATATATACAGTCACAAAATGGTTTGAATAAATTCAACAGTATTTTTCTGTCGCAAAAGAAATTAAAAAAAAACAATGTCGTCTTACTCTTTTGATATAACATTTCTCGCCTATCTGTCTTTGTCTATTTCTCTCTTACTATGTTCGTCTTGCTCACTCTCTTACTCTCATCTTCTCTATTTATCGAGCTCCTTCTCGATTTATCGATCCACTATAAGAAAATACACTTTTAGCAACCACTTTGTCTATCTCTCTCTCTCGCTCATCACTCTATCTCTGTCTCTCTCTCTATCTCTCTTCTTTCTCTGTCTGTTTGTCTACCTTTCTGTGTGTCTTTCATTCATCTTTCTTCTCTTTATCTCTCTCATTTGTCTTCTCTCTATATCTCTATTTTTCTGTTCTCTCTCTCGTTCATCTCTTTTCGTTCTCTTTCTATATATCTCTCATCGCTTGTTTCTCTTTATTTTTCTATATGTCTCTCTCTATCTCTTTTTCTCTCTGTCTCTCTGTCTCCACTGTCGCTACTTCACCTAAACGACTACCATTACTACTACTATCGCCACCACTCTACTACCACCACTACTACTACTGCTACTACTACTACCACCACTAGTTTTGTGTATTTATTAATTTTTAAAATATTTTTTTATTTAAATACATCTAAGTAAGATGAAAAAAATTCATTAACTACAAAAAATATATATATTTTAACAAAAAATAAATTTATTTAATTATTTTTTTATTTTTATTTTTATTTTTCATCCCCCCTAAATTGATTTCCATTCCCGCTCCCCCCCTTTATTTTTTTCCCATTCCCGCTTCCACACCCCCTCCCAAAAAAAAAAAATCCCTAATCTCAAACCCAAAAAATCCCTAATCTCTTCTTCCCCCCCTCTCTCTCTCTCTCTCTCTCTCTCTCTCTGTCTCTCTGTAATGGGTCTTGATCCCTCTTTGATTTTAATGATTTAAGTGCAGAGTGGGTTTTTGCAAGATTGCAACTGGTTTTGTATCCGGATCGAAAATGCTCTGAATGTGCTCCCTTCGAACTCGCACTCGCTAGGTTTGATTTCTGCTTCTCCCCTTCTCTCTTTGATTTTGGTTTTACCCTAATGACAGTGAGTCTTCGCTTTCCTTTTGTAGATCAGTTTATTACTTCTTTTAATTAATTTCAATAAATTTCTTGATTTCTAATTTCGTAGATCGGTTTATTGCATTCCAGTTTATTCCCACTTGAAGGTTTGATGTTTATATAACATTTACTCTTGAGGTTTCAATTTGAAGTCACCTCTACTCTGTTTTATTTGCTTCCTCTGATGAAAATTGAGCTATTTCTTTTATGTATATCAGTATATGTATGCTTGTGTGTTTTTGTCACTGCTCTAATGCCCTGTTTTGGTTTTTATAGTGAAGTTCTTCATCTTGCTGTTAAATTTGTGGTGAGTATATACATTTTTATGTACTTGGTTAAGTATATACATTTATGTATGTATTTAGGGTATTCATGTATCTATGTTTTTTTGGTGTTTTTGCATCTTTGTTTTGATTTCCTGTTTTGGGTTATTGGGTTTTTATGTTGTATCTGTAATGGAGGTTTCAATTTAATGAAATTCAAAGATAAGTCAGATTTGTTGAGCAGAGTTGTTGACTGTCTTTGACAATAGGTTTCAATTGTTCTTGCGATCATAAATAAATGTGGTCTCTATCACTTTTTGTTTGATTGCCCCTACTGTTGCGATCTCGAGTTACTTAATCCCCAACCCATTTTGTCTCCATACCCATTGCTTCTCTTTCTCTTATTCTAATCTTCTTTTTCAGTCCAGGGCTTCACACCCATTAAGTGTTTACGGTACAGAAGAGTTTGATCGCAATCCGAATCAACTTTCACTTTCTTTTGGATCGCCATCTTCATTGATCTTCCGTATCTGAGATTTGATCAGCAAAAAGGTATGTAATTCTATTTCTTTCTCTGTTTCTGACAATGTAATGTGTCCTAAATATGCTCTAGAAAAGAGAAAAAAATGAAATAAAATGGAGAAGTGAAGGAGAAGATTTTGTTGCATAAATCACTCTGATAAGCTTGAATTTTTGGCTGAATAAAGGAACAAAAATTTAATACTACTTTGTTGGATTTGAAGTTGTTTTAGTGCCAGTGTTCTAACTATCTCAAGGTTTGATCACTCTACTTGGTAATCTTTTAAGCATTGATAACAGATGCCTAATGATTGAGCTAGGACTTGAGAATGTCTAAAATTGAATGGATTAACCCAGAAAAGTAGGGGGAGAGCTTGAAGTCGATCCTTTCTTGATATGTCCACATGAGTACTTTGCTCATCTTGCAGTATTGTGTTAAAGAAAAGTTGGGAGGTGGAGTGGAGGATGCTTCACATAGATATTGAATTATAAATTTTAGATGATATCTCCAAGTAGATTTAGTTTTCTGGGTTATATTACCAAACACATTGTTCTTTAATGTTTCATAGACTTAAGTGCATCATTGTATTACCATCATTTTGCAGACCGATACTGTTGTCCTCTATGTGTGTCCACTTCTGTTTTCTCGTGGAAGGTAACTCTGGCTGGGTCTTGAATTTCATTCCTTTCATGTAGCTGGTGTTTTGAACTGCTGAAGAGGTACTAAACGATGAGACTTTTTAGTTATATTCTAGAATATACTTACATTGTTTTAACTTTTAAGAATTATCTTATTCTTCAAATTTGGGCCTTTGGCGAGGACGGTAGGGGATAAGGGGCAAGATTGTAATGATATTGAGTCATGCTAAGTGTGTTGAATTCTACATTGAAAGTCTACATGTGAGGTCTTGGGATATAATTGGGGACTATGAACCCAATTGATATCATAGGTTGGCCCTTTTATGTGAGAATCAAGGTTGTTGTTATTATTAAACACCACTCTATGCGTGTTTGTGCTTTATGTTTAGTTTAGTTTATGTTTTTGTCTACTTCCCTCTCCACCTGCCAGATGGGAACACATGAGGGAGGGTGTTAGCTTATTTACATTGATGGACTCATTCTGAATAGTTTAAGATTTTTGGACAATTGGTTATCTAGCAAAATGTAACCAATCCATAGTCCATTGGTAAAGTTTGTAGCATCTTGCAGATAGGTGTCAAAGACTTAACTGTTCAGTGCAAGCCACAATTAAAGCCTGAATTGACGCATTTACATATTATCATTCTAGCATAATTTCCAGCTACTTGGGAAAAAAGGCATTAAAATGGAATTTATGGAAGTACTCTAATGCAATTAAAGGAGAGATAGCGAATATCTTTTGATTCCATATGTAAGTGATCAAGTTGGATTATCTTCATTAACTTCACCTGATTGGGATTTGATCTAGCAGTAATGGTTCTAAATTTTTCATCTGAACATGGTTCAATGCAGGCATAGCCGTGGCATCTCAAGCTTCTTCAGCTAATATAAAGAGGAAAACGGAGAAACATGTTGATGATGGTGGTGGTGATATAGTTGAAGCAGTACCAAACCTGAAGTTGCTTCAGCATCATCATTGGGAGGTGCTAGTGAGTATGACAATTCAACTCCATTGGTCCAGGTTATGACATACAATAGCGTTGAAGTTCAGGAGTTCTCATCTGATGGCAAGATTTGAATATTTTCCTCCCTGTTTTTAGTAGTAGTTGTGTAATTATTCTTAGAGCCTGTTTGGTGCAGCTTTTCCATTTGCTGTAAGTTGATGATAAATAGAAGCTAAAAGAATGATTTCCCCAGCTTTTTTCAACTTTATTTGAGCTATTTCTGTCTCATAAGCTATAAGTAAAAGCTGCACCAAACACTTTCACAGACTCAAAATAAGAAAAGTTATAAGCAGCATTATAAGTTGCACCAAACAGCACCACAGTTGAGCTGACTCATTATTTATTCATTTACAATGCAGTGCAAGACAGTGGGGATGTTAATGACAGTGCAGATGCAGCAAAGTTGATTGAAAATATGGGGTTGAGTGAGGAGGTAAATGGTTCATCAGAATATGGAGGCGAAGATAAGAATGGGACGACTTTCAATGACACTGATCGAGCCGACACTGATGACAACGGCGATAATAAACCAGAGCATCCCGGTGAAGTGTCAAAATACGAAAGAAATATGGAACTTCTTAACATCATGACACACTCCATTTTTTTGAGTTTTCTGTTAGGAGCGCTCTCTCTCTCTCTCATGTGTATTGTGTAGAATATATGTACAGAAATTTCTTAGCTTAGTTTGCATGTCAGGGTTGATCTGTTATCTAGTTACAGCATAGCCTAGTTGATTTTGTGTAGTATCACCAGATGGTGCATTTTTCGACTCTCATTCATAACCGTATCTCATTTTTTGTGCCAGTTGGACTTCATTTCTATTTTTTTTAATGGATGAAATCGACAGCATTGGATTTGCTTGAATGGAATTTGGATCTGGTAATGGTGATAGTGAAGTGCAGGGGACGATGCTGGAGCTTCTCAATCAACTAGATGGATTAGAGCATCTAACAAAATCAAAGTACTGATTTCATTCTCTTAAACTAGCAACATGAGGGTGCTACTGCTCTGGGTTTTCCAGTTGCAACGAGTGCATATGTGTATACATTGATCTTTGTAAGTAATTTGAGGCATTTTCTTTTAGTTATCTTTATCTGTCCTCTTATTTGACATTATTGTAGAATTTATAGCTATGCATACTGTTTGGTCTGAAATTAGTCATTTGTACATTATGGTTTTTTCATCTCATAGACTTGTTTCTAGACTTGATGGGACTTAAGGCTTGGTTTGGTTTGTTTTGTTTTATAGACTTGTTTCTATAATGGTTCAAAAAGAAAGGAAAAAAGAATAAAAGAAAAGAAAAGAGACTTGTTTCTATAAGGTTGAGGCTAACTTTAGGAGTTCAATATGCACCATTACACAAGTTATTGCATGGGGAATTTTCTTAGTTGCAATTTGACATTTTGTTTGATGTGACCAGATACAATCTTGAAGAAGTATTCATCAACTGTTGCCACAATATTCACTGGCATAACATCTGCTGCATTATTTGGCCACTCTGACTATAAACTTTATGTTAGGAATTACAGTTGTTTTCATCTCAATGCACCAGGTACTACAAGAAAGAGAAATATATTTTAATGATTACCATGTTATTTTCAGGCTTACCTTGTGTTTCATTTTCCCCCCCTTTGTAGTTCTTTTCTCCTCTTTCAAAGGTCAAAGATGAACAGCAAAATGGTGTGGTGGAACTAAAGGATGTTCAGGATAACCACAGGTATTTGCTTCTTGTTTTGTCTGTTATAATTCAGAATGCCTTCATTTCAAGGACGTGTTTGGAGATGTATGTGGAATTGGGAGATTAATTGTCTGTATGAACTGAAAGTGTACTAAAAATTATTATTCTTGGTGTTACCCACTTGAAAATACACAAAAAGAGATCTAATAAACTATTAATTTTAAAATGGGAACAGTTTAATAACGGAATGAAATATTGTAATGTGTACATATATATATTGAGTGATATATTGTAATGTGTACTAAGAATTATTATTCTTTGTGCAAAAAGGTTATATCGTGTATTTCTGTTTGCAGAAACACATACATGCATGTGCAAATTGTTTGTTTTTGTTTTGATTGGCTCAATTACTTGCAAGAATATGTTGAGTGGAAAATTTTTATGGTTCTTGTGCTGTGCATTTTGTTTGTTTGTCAAATATTGTTTTCCCTTGTCAAGACATCCATTTGAATGTTAGTTTGGAAGTGGGACACTAAATTTTGTCGTATCAGTTTACAGTAGCTTGTTGCTCATGTGTGATTTAGCGGCCTTTGTGGTAGTCAACATCCTTGTTCATTGGATTGATCAAATAACAATTTTAACTTAGATTTCATCTGCATCACACATTGTACAATATTGCTTCTTCAGTTAGTAGATTTATATGTCTGTTGTATTAGAAAAAAAATTATAAGTGCTTATCATGCCAACCTTTTGCACGTATTTACTGCAGAATATTCTTTAATATGTAAAATTTATGAGTACAAAAGCCATATATAAGCTTCATGGACAACATAACAATGGGATTTGGAATTGGCCTATCTGGTCGTGGTCGCTACTAGCTTATCACTGAGGTCTGGTTGCCTTTTCTAGCACACACACACACACACACATATATATATATATATAGATAAAAAACACTATTTAAGTTATTAATTTTTACTTGTTTGAGTCTCTTTCAGAGGTCTGCTTGCTATGCCAGAAAATGGGATTGGCTTGTTTCCAGATGTGGGCTTTTGCATATATAGCAGCACGAACTCTAGGAAGAGGATCAGTTGGTATGCTTTCTGTTATTTAAAAGGTTCAGTTGGGTTCTATGGAGGGAATTTTTTTTATGATGTTATGTTTTCTTTTGTTTGCACATTGAAGCTTTTTGGTATCACCTTTAAGTATATTGAATTTATTGTTTAAATTCATCATTGAGGGGCATGATGCTCATTACTTTTTTAGCAAAAGTAAGGTGAAAATGTGATAAATCTGCAAATCAGTTTTATTTTTTTTTGATAAACTGATAAACTGATAAATCATTATTTTATTGATAAATCTGCAAATCAGTTTTATTTTAGCAAATGTGATAAACTGATAAATCTGAAAATCTGAAAATGTAAGGTGAAAATGTGATAAACTGAAAAATCTGCAAATCAGTTTTATTTTAGCAAAAGAAGGTGAAAATGTGATAAATCATTATTTTTTTTTATGATGTTAAAACGCCGCTAAAAATCAGTTTTCCAGCAGTGAGTATGTCATCGTTTTTCTTACAAGAATTAATTTTTTACTTTGTCAAGAAAGAAGAAGAAAAAGAAGAAACCCCGGTTGCCTTTGAATGGTATATTTGCTGTTTTGTTGTGTATCCCTTGAGACATCTCTCAGAGTTAGTTTGTTGGGATTTGGGGAATATATATATATCTGTCTCAGTTAATTAGCTTTGTTAGCCTTCATGATGCTGCCATCATTCTGTTTCACACTTTGGATGCATTTCAGCTGTGGAGATGCAGTGGAAAATGTCTCAAGACCTTGCTGCTGAGAACTATATGATGCCTAGGCCCTGCTGCTTATAATCCGCATTTTTTACACCTTCAAAATATTCTGTAAATGACATTTGATGTAGAATTTTTTGTACAGAGGACATCTTTTTTGTATGATTTTGTGTTTGTATGGAATTATTATTTTGGGTTGGATTGTATTTGATTGTATAGAATTTGATGTTAAAAGATCAAATTTTTGTATTGTTGAAACGAAATAGAAATAGATATATGTATTATTTTGTTTAAATACAGGGTGCAGGTTGCACGAAATAAATACAGGTTGTGAATAAATTAATTATAATAAAAAAACACTAAATAAAGTTTTTGGAAATTAAATGTTTTAGTAGTGAAAAAAAAAAAGTGAATTTATTAGTGACTAACCAATTGGTAGCTAAAAAGGAAATCAATATTTTTAGTGACTAAATATTTGGTAGCCATAAAAAATCCAAAGATTTTTGGTGACTAAAAATTTAGTAGATAAAAATAAATGAAAACTTTCGGCTACCAAATGGTTAGTAGCCAAAAGTTTAATAAAATGAAAAATAATATTTTTGGCGACTAAATTCTTTAGTCCTTAAATGTAGTAATGTTGTGACTAAAACTTATTCTCGACAAAAAGTTTTAGTCGCTGAAAATTTAATTTATTTTATTTGAACACTTTTGGCGACTAAATATTTAGTCGCCAAAGTATACCCTTTCCCGACTACTCAGAGTTTGGTAGCCGAATGTTCACTTTTGGCGACTAATATTTTAGTCGCCAAAAGATAACCTTTGCCGACTAACCAGAGTTTAGTAGTCAAAACGTTCACTTTCAGCGACCAAAAATATTTTAGTCGCCAATACTATCGCCGACAGGGTATAGGCGACTAGTTTGGCGACCAAAAATGGGCTTTTGGCAACCAATATTTTGGTCGCCAAAAGTGGCATTTCCTGTAGTGGTTGGGTAATCCGCCCTTGATATTTTTTTTTTGGTTGATATTAGTAGACATGTTTTTTGTTGGATATTAGGAGACATGTTTGGTAATCCACATGCGATTGATATTATATTTTTGTGGATATTAGTAGACGTTTTTTGTGGATATTAGGAGACATGTTTATAATTCGCATGCAGTTCATATTGTATTTTTGTGGATAGTGCTGAAATTCGATTGTGAGGTTTATGAAAATGAACAGATTTCTATATTTATTTGTAATAGATATTTTATTGAACAGGTTATTGAAATGCACAGGGAATTGTTACTGAAAAGAAAAAATTTCGGAAGAAAATAGTACCCCCATTTTCAAAATTTTTAATTTTTATTAGTGACGAAATAAAAAATGTCGCTATAAGTTTTCAAAAAACATGACGAATAATTTTGTCACTAATGATACAATACGAAACAAATAATTTTGTCACATTTGCTCAATATTTTGTCGCTAAATTGAAATATTTGGTGACAAAATGTTTTTTTGTCATTGAAGAATTTTCTTTTCTACTCATTTTAGTGACGAATTTTTTTTGTCACCTTAATCCATATCGTTGGTGAGGAAAACTTTCGTCACTAAAATCTATTTGGTGACGAAATATTTCATTGCGAAAAATAATTAAAATAAAATATTATTTAGTTTTGGCGACGAAATTGATGTTATAGTTTGGAGACGAAACATTTCGTCGCCAAAAATCAAAAATAGGCGATGAAACTGTTTTTCGTCACCAGGTACTTTCAGTGACGACGTATAGGCCACGAACGTGGTGACAAATTTTTTTCGTCGCAGATCACTTTAGTGACGAAAATTTGATGTTTGGAGACAAAATCAGTCTATCACTAAAGGCCTTTTTTTGTTGTAGTGCAATGTGAACCTTCACATAGTTGTTAGTTGCTTTACAGTTGTGTACACATAATCATTGGTTTAAAGTGATTTGTGGGTAATGTAATTTTAATGTGAACTTTAATATTACTATTCCATATTGGTAATTAACACTTTGAAACCATAGTGTCTTTATCTATATTCCAAAATTCATGTGAACCTTCACATTTGTATATTACAGTGTGAACATTCAGATCATATTTGTATTCAAAATGAAAGTGGAGGCTTGTGGTTACGTAATTTGATGCAATGCTGATATGAATACAGTGAAAACATATTCACATCACCTTTATCACGGTGGTAATGAACACAGTGAAAACATATTCATTATTCAATATTATATGGGTGTGTGAATAACATTAACACCAATTGGAAATACAATGACAAATCTTCATTTCAAATTAATGTGAATATTAACACTTTCATTATTTTTATATCAGACATATTACCAATCTCAAAAAATCATTACTAGATTAAAATCCAATAGCAAAAAATCAAAATCAATGATGAAGAATCAGAAATTCAAAAATCTCAATCTTTCAAGAAATAAAAAAAATATCACCCACATCCTCCTCTGTATCTTCATTATCTTTGTCTTCATCATCATTATTATCACTATTATTAACACCTCCTACAATTCCACATCCTTCTCTGTGTCATTATTATCTTCATCTTTATCTTCACACATTGTGTACATGCAATGTGAACATTCACCACCAAAAAAAAAAAAAAAAAAGAAGAAAAAACCAGAGCCATATCTAAATGCATTAATAGTCAAACCCCATAACCCATTCAACCAACCAAAACATGCATCTCCTTCTAATCTAGATAATGATGTTGAAAGCAAAAAACAGAGCATACAATCCTTTATATTCATTCACATTGTTCATGCGACGTGAGTGTTTACCACATTTAAAAAACAGAGCCATATCTCAAACACATGACCAGCCAAAACCCATAATCCTATACAATTAACCAAAACTTGCATGTCCATCAATTCCTAAAAATGAAGTTGGAAACAAAAAACAGAGCATACAATCCTTATATAAATCCAAACACAAATGAACATGCATCCATTACATACTGACCTTAAGATGATTACTCGTGCTCTTCTCTGATCAATTTTTGACTTTGCAACAATGTAAACAGACAGAGCACAAATGAAGTCTTCACTCTTCGTTTTCCTCACACAACACATCAACTCACAAGCAACATTGAAACTGGATGACAATCAACATCCTGAATCATGGGAACTACCAACACAATAATGATGGTCAATATGGAAACATGATTATCTTTTTGCATGTAATATATATCAACATTAAACATAAGGGTATAAGAGTCTAACAAAATAATGCAAATCAGGAAAAATGACCTTATGGAATAAAAGTACAAACACATTGGACTAAGTAGGTTATAAATTTCCTTGATGGACTTATTGGGTTAGAACACTCCTAAATATCCCAATTTAAATATGATCTAATATATTTCATATTTTTAAATCACTATATAAGGAGTTTTTTTATATTTTATTTCAATAGTTAATGACTTTATATGTCATAAATTCATATTGTACCACTTCTTTTTATTTTTTTTTAAAAAATAATTGACTTTAAATGTCTACAAAATTATTTTTGACTAATACCTGAACTAATAAATAAAAAATGTTTACAATTATTAAATGAAATGATCATAAAAATAAAAATTGAGACATAAACAAAAATTATTTTTGAGATATTGAATATTGCAGAATGTGTATAATGTATATTTTGTAAGTTTTTTTTTTTTTTTTTTTGAAAAAGAAGCTGTTCAGAATTGTTAATATGTATAACGGTGTGTAATGAGCTGCTACGGTACCACTACGCCTGTTACGTAAAATCGAAACGGCCATTACACGTGTGGATTTCTGTCACACCGCAAAAGCAGGTGTAACGGATAGTGCCTAGAGCCACAACCATTACGTAACGGCCACCGCTTTTTAAAATCTTGGTTTTGACCTACTGAGTTATGCCATTTGTGATAATCAAACTCACAAATGACATAACTTATATATGGTACACATCATGTACCATAGCATTCCCTACATTAAAATATGGACAAATATTTCATAAAAAAATAATTTATTTAAAAATAATTTAAAATTTTTAAAAATAAGAAAATTATTTTAAATAAAAATAGAGGTATAAAAATTGCTATTTTTTTTGTTGTCTCACACTTTAAAAAATATATGAATTTTTTACGGTATTATTTCTCATAATTCTTTTGATGAAATAATAATAACATTACGCCTTTTGAATTGTTTATCACATATATTTTTCATAATTAGGGCGACGAAAAATGACCAATCTTTTGCCATAATTCTTTTGATAAAATTTTTATGGATAAATTACACTGACATTTCTTAAGA